TTCTTATCCTGCTGAAAGAGGCCACAGCCATGAGGGAGTATTCTTTCTATCAAAGGATGTGCATGCATCGCAACACTGGTACATGTCAAACTAATATCCACATGGATGGCAGGACACTGCCCAAAACATTACAGTGCCTCCGCCTGCTTGACTTCTACTCATAGTGCATCCGGATGCCAGCTTCTCCCCAGATAAACAACGCAGCTGGTCATCCACGTGATCTAAATGAAAACGTGATTCATCAGGCTGTCTTTTTCCATCACTCTGTTGTCCAGTTCTGATGTTCACATGGCCCTTATTGGCACCTTCATGGGGCACCCTGACTGGCCTGCAGCTTTGCAGTCCCACATGCAACAAACTATGATGCACCGTTTATTCTGACACTTTCAATAAGAATATGCATTAACCTGTTTGGCTGTTTAAGCTACAGTAGCTCATCTGTTGGATCGGACTACGTGGGTCAGCCTTGTGCATCAATCACGTGCATCAATGCGCCTTGGCTGCTCATGACCAGGTTCACTGCTGTTCACCTTCCTTGGAACACTTTTGTTAGATACTAACCATAAAGACCAGGAATACTCCACAAGAGCCGCAGTTTTGGAGATGCTCTGACCCAGTCGTCTAGCCAGCACAGTTTGACCATTGTCAGACTCGCTCGAATGGATTGTGAGAGCAATCCAGTGAAGGTACAGGATGGTTCTAGCCAGGGTTCACACGAGGAGTCTTCATGCTGTGAGGCGTCAGTTTTAAACATTGTAGTGAGCCTTAACAAACTCCAAATGTGTTGTTGGGACAGAAAAGAAAATCACCCCAGTACAGTTGTTATGAAGGGGAAATTAGCTTTTGGAGCCTGCCTCGCGAAGCTATTAGAGGAACTGGAGTTCTTAGCACTTTGTGTTGGCTTTATTTTTTAGCCCCAGAGGTTGCAGCTTAGTTTGATGCTGTGGAAAAATCATTGAGATTCAATTAACAGTCAGAACAAACCACATGAACCCGACATCAAGGGGTTAACAGTTGCTCAACATCGTGCCTTTCTCTGTTTCCAAAAGCCCACAGTGCATCACTGAGGTTGATTTTATTTCTCTTTAAGTGGACATCATTCTAATCAGTCATTTTTTTGTGCTTTGAGGAGAGCCAAAGAGGGGCCGAGGCCACTTTCACTAAGAGGTTTTCAAGCCGTTCATATGATGTGAGCTATAAAAATAGCTCGTCAACATCTGCTCCCTACTTACTTGTTTAAATCATGTCTCAATCAGCGATTTGTCATATTTATAGTAACCATTTGTTGATAAATCACATGCCTGGCTCCTTACAGCACTGCATTGTTCTCATTATCTCCTAACGTTTTCTATCTTGGTGTGATCTGTGATGGAGAGTGCTTCCCATAAGTCACAGAGAAGTTTACACGGGAAGCACGTAGCTCAAATGTACCAGGGATTTATTTTCCCCCAACTTTATCTCCAATTACCTTTTCTCTGGTTGACTCCTCTTTCATCTTCCAGCTATTATTTTAAGAGTATTTCTTGCCTTTTTGCTCACCTCCATCTGCAACTGTCTTCTTTGTTTAAAAAAAAAAAAAAAAAAAAAGACAAACGAATCCTTTTGGGGACAAAGAAAGAGAGAGCGAGATTGAGTTTGTTCAGACCTGCTGGGTATGTTGTGAGATGGCTAAAGAGGTTGCAGGGTCACAGATTTGGAGCGAGAAGATATCCGTGTGGAACAAGGAACCGCCTTCATTATTCAAATAAGCCAAGCTACACTCCTGATAGATCAGGGATGTCGGACTCCTTTTACATCGTAGGCACATACAGCCCACCTCGACTGTAAGTGGGCCAGACCGGCGAAACTTCCTGTTGTGTCAGTGTAAAGACATTTCCACAGTGAATCGCTGAAAAAAGAAGAGATGTAACTAAAAACAGTTGGCCTCGTTGTGGAGTCTGTCCCTGTGTGGGTTCAATCTCGGTACCCTCTTCCCCTCTTTAGGTCAAAAAACATGCATTTTGGGTTAACTGGCACTTCTAAATCATTAAATTGAATGGTTGTCTCTCTCTCTCTCTCTCTGTAAGCCCTGTCCAGGGTTTTCACCTCATAACAGCTGTGATAGACTCCGCCCCCTATGACCCAGAGTTGGATAAGCAGAAGAAAATAGATGTCCTCAGTTTTAGTCTTTTTCACTTTCCTCAGGTTTGTCAGCACAGCAGCCAGTCGGAGGCTTTGGTGTATATGTTGTATGTGACTAAGATCTTTTGTAATACCCCGCTACCCCACAGTATAGTAATAAAAGACTAACATAGAAACTCATAAAACCTAAACGTACATTTCCAGATACTAAAAGCTAAACTGAAGCAAGCGAATTGAGTTAAATTGAACTGAAACAAAAAACTTGAGATGAATTAAAAATGGAAACTAATGAAGAAAAAAATTGGAACTAATCACTCTAACAGACTCAGTATTATCAGCACCTGTACTTTTCCTGCTGTAGCAAAGAAACGTGTAAAAATGTCTCTAGTGCACGACATAGTGTTTAATGGTGTACTGTACAATGGCCTTCTGCTTTACTGATGCAATTAAATATCAGTAGAATCTACGGGGTGTAGGTCACTTTACCTAGGCTTTACCTAGGCTAGGAGAAGTGTTTATTAAAAGTGAGGACTTCATTTAGAAGTTTTTTTCTTTTCTTTTTTTCAATTCATGATATATAAAGTCCTCTGGTAAGGTTTATACCAGCTGTGTTAGGTTAGATCCCCTGGTTATCCAGTGTCTTTGTGCACTGGCCTAGGTCTGCTTTGCACATTTGATGTTGTGCATGATGCTGCTGCACATAAGCACAGATGCTTTAGATGGAGGTCTTTCCACAGCAGCGTTTCAGCATGTAACTGCTTCTGTAGTGGGTCTGCGCGGTGGACTGGGAGGCATCCAGACGTATAAAGAAACAGATGACAGTTTCCTGGTGGGGGTGGGCGTGCTGGGAGAGAGTGAAGATGTGATAGATGCCATCAAATTTGTCTTGACAGAGACAAAGAGACACCTTGGCTGATATGAATAATTGTCTTATAATCACGTTGAAGTGTTTGGTCGTACTTGAAAGACTTGTGCAAACACGAGTATGATCAGCGACTGCAAAGAATACAGATCATCAAAACTAATGAGAATTCAAGAAGGGGGTGTGTTCCTTTATAACAAGTATAATCTTAATTTGATCTCTTCTCAATCACTTATTATAATGAAAGGTGGCTTATTATTTGCTCATAATGCAGCCAGCATTTGAAGAGTTGATTGTAAAATGTCTGCAAGTTGTTTCCTTTTCAGAAAATTGCTTCACCAGGAAGAAGTCCTGCACCGATTTGTTGCTTTATTTTACCAGAAAATCAGCCCCCATGTTTTATTCTTACCCCTCAGAACCTGTCAGACTGTGTTTGCACAGGAAGTACACTGCCAGCTTTAGTCTTTATCCTACGCCGAACATTACTCTCTAACTGTGCGCACACTCATCTGTCCTGAGCACTTATAGAAATTGATTTTATGTAGGATTTTTTTTATATATAGTTGTTGCAGGTAGTGGACGGTCTAATCTTATTGCAGTCACTGAGAAAAGGTTGTGGTTTCAGAACAGACTGAGACTCTGTCCACAGCAGATGATTTAAAAATTTGGCATACAGTTAAATGATGGGCAACAGTCACAGAAAACAACAGCAGTTGTTTTTGCTAATATTAATGCATAAAAAAGCTGTGAAAATCCCTATTAGCCCTTCTGTCAGAGGTAGAAATTAACAGCTGAGTACGGTCTGCGGTGGTTTGTGACATCACGTCGTTATTGCCTGTCCTGAAGGCATAAAGAAAACGGATCAATAACACATTTTGGAGAGGCTGAAGGTGAAATGCGGGCTACAGAGCAAATAAGAAAGCTGAATAATAGTATTTCTGAAGTCAAGGGCAGCAGCCTGGACCCAGAGTGAATGCTGCTAATTGTGTTCCCTGCCAGCGTATCGATCCGGTGGGTTTTAATTGTAACTTATGTGGACAAGAGGATGGATGGGTGGCTCGGTCATCTGTCCATTTGTACAAATGGTGTGGGCAAGACAATGACGGTGTTTCTCAGAAGGGCTCAGAAGATGACCTTACAGGGATAAAATGAATGAGTGAAATTATGGAATCATGAACAGAAGAGGATGAAAGGAACAGCCAAATTAGTGAGTGAAATAACGAACGAGTCGACCTCTGAATCGCTGCCAGCATTGATTTTAAATGGCTAACGGAGAGAAACTGACAGGCTGCGGATGATCACGGGAGTGTGCGTATTTTAACTGATGATGAAACCGCTCTAAAGCACACGTTGACTGGATAATTTATTGATTTTTAAATGCTTTGACCGTTCAACATCTTTGACCAGTAGAGCCGTGTTTGCTGGACATCCTGTTATCTAAATAGTGAATTTGATTTCATGAGGTTTCACTGAAAAAAGGAGCGCTCAAACTGGAGGTGCTTCTCAGGCTCCAGAAAAGTCTAAACGCTCGGTTTCAAGCTGCTCTGTTTGATGTCAAAGGGAGGGAATATCCTTAATGTGCTCTCATGCGTACAGCTCTGCTCACACAGCCACCCACCTGCTGTTTAAACCTTTTTCTGAAGGAAAGCCAATCAGATGAAAGTTGGCTTATAAAGATAGAAGAGCTAAAATGTCCATCAAGGTCCAGTAGAAGATAAATGGGGATCATTTACGAGCTGGGACTCACGCAGAGCTACTCTAGCGGTGTCCAAGACTTGAACTAGTGAAGCTAAAATGAGCTCTTTCCATTCTGCATGTTACGTTGCATTGTGAGGTCCTATTTTGTCTTTCCTTGCACATTTCTCTCTGTAATCTTCACAGCGCTTCCAAATACAAACAAATCAGATGTTCATACATTCAACTCACTTCTGTTTGCCTTGCTTCAGGTTTGTTTGCTGTTTGTACCCAAGCTCACAGTGTGAGAACTGTGACTAACCGCTTTTCTTAATGTTTTCAGGATGACTGGGTGTCCAGGGACTTGTCCGGTAGGACCAAAGGTCACAACTCTGACGACAAAGCCCACGGCCCGGAGACACTGCCACCAGGTAGGAAACGTCCCCACAAATCATATATCACAACCTCTCTGGCCCAGTTACACGGCTAAATGGGGACATTCAGAGAGCAAACCTCTGAGGTGCTACAACTTCAATAGAGTCAATGCAACAGGCTGAGAAACATCTGTTTTTATTCCAGATGCTGTTTCTCCTTGTTAAAACCACACACCATATATCAGTTTTGGATGTAGCCACTGTGGCCTCAGCTATTGGGGGGTGGAGTCCTGCTTTCAGTATATTGTTGTTTTTGTTTTTTAAACCACACATCACAGGAGGAGGAGTGGATCTGACTGTAAAAACTGTGGATGCTCACTCTTATACAGTAGTGACTTGTAAATTAGTGGAGCCAAAAGCAAGCTGTGGCTTACTGTCTGTATTTACTTAAAATGAGGCCATAATTAAAAAAAAATCATACATAATTAAGGTTTGATATGAGCAATTGAGATGACATACTTGTTAATAAAGTGTTTGCACGGGTAATAAATCATGCAAGAAGTAGACTTCTTCTTATCTTTGCAAGCACACATTGTTAGAAAAAAAATCACATTTACTTAACTTGTCAGGCTTGGCAGCTTTTATATACAGTTTATTGCTCACAATGCATCTTGACAGCCATTGGTTGTGTTGTCCTAATAACGCTTAATTTGTCCTGTGCAGACATGGGAATGGAGCTTCAGAGCTCTGGTAAGCTGTCTTCTTCTTAACTTAAACTTGTAGCTAACGTAGTGGTACATTTGCAGTAGTGCTCCCGAGACCTGCTGTCCTGTAAAAGTAGTGTAGTAGTTCCCTTTAACTGGCAGGAACGATTCATGTCTGAGGCACATGTGTGTCAAATTTGTCTTTTATTCTTGATCCTTCAGGATCTGTGGAGTTCACTTTCTCATTGCTTGCAGTTGTGACTGAACTCTAGGAAAAGGCACGACACAAATGCATACCAGCTGCAGAGCATGTGCACTGCAGTCACTGTAAACCACATTCATGTATCCAGAGAGTATTCCGCATCATGTTCCCACAACCGAAACCATTTCCTTTTTCAAAACGCGGTAACACAGCAGCATAGTTTGTTTTATTACCAGTAGAACATGAACATCCTTAACCTTATCGTGTTTGAATAACCACAGCGAGGGAACCCAATGAAATACGCACATCTGTATGGTTCAGACTTAAAAACAGGTTGGAGCCGATTGCCTGTCCAAAATAATCCAGGCAGCCAATTTCGATCTTCCCACAAACCAACTATGCGTCTCCACCCAAACTCTGAGAGACATTGTTTCAGTGTCCAGCAGCCAAGAGGAGAGCAGGAGGAGAATCTGATTTCTCATTCAGCACCCGTCGTCAGGCTGACTCAAAGCAGCAGAAGCAGCCAACGCCCCTCCTTCACAGGCCCGTGACCTGCGAACGCTGAACACACACTCTCTTATCTGATCCAGCAATGCTATCCAATTTGAATGTTGAAGTGAGGGCATTTCAATTTCAGGGTGACATTACACTCAGCAATGACAGCGTATCACAACATCACCCAGAGCACACAAGGACACTTAAGAAGAGGAGAAAGAAAACAGAAGGAAAGTGTTGAGAAAGCAAGAGAACAAGGAGATGGAGCCTAAGAGATACGTGGAAGAGTAAAAGATTTACTAATAAAAACAGAGTAAATAAGTAAGTCTTCGGGTTCGTCAAAGATGGGTGCTGGTTATGTTTTGTTTTCTATCTAATCCTACTCAGACAGTCATTATAAAGTAAAAAGGTGAGGCGATACCTCAGATCTTCATTTTTAAAAAAATTAAAGCATAAAATGTACTAAACTGTGTCACTCTGAGTATGTTAGAAATGTTTCATTGTTGCACTGACGCCTTGTTATTTTTCATGGTTGTTTTTAAGCGTTTTGTTATCGTTTTACCGTTTGAGCATGCCAAAAATATGTTTTATTCAAACAAGGGGGAAAAATGACTAAGATGGGGAGGGAGCAACAGCATGCTCCTTCCATTCAACACATCCAAATCCTCTGAAACAAGAAGAAAAAATCTTTTTCAGAGAAGTCAAAACAAGCCTGCACTGGCCCTCTTCCAGATCCGAATCCTTTACAAAGTGAAGAAAAAACTCCTCAAAGCTCTCAGTATGTGTTATTCTTTCTAGTGAACGTTTGGCATCATTTGTCTTGTCTGGTACTAAACATTTATTTGCGCTCGCCGGCTACTTCGTCAGTACCAGGCTGATCCCTCTTTGCCTTCAGAACTCCCTTAATTCCTCATAGCTTCGATTCGCCAAAGTGCTGGGAAATATTGCTGTATTCAAGTCTGCCACCAACAACCATCCCACATTCAGACTCACAGTGGGGTATATAATTATTTCATCCCCTGCTGAATTTGTAAGTTTGCTCACTTCCAGGGAAATGAACAATCTCTATTTTATTATTTTTTTAATTGAAACAGATTTAAAAAACAAAATACGCATTACACAAGTTAAAGTATTTAAACTAGTACACCTGTCTACAAAATCAGTTTCTTTCAGTCCAACTTCTCCACCACCATGTGTGAGACTAAAGAGCTGTCAGATGATGTCGAGGGACAGGACTGTAGACGTGAATGAGGCTGGAACAGGCTACAACGTCATCAGTAAGAAGTTCAGTGAGAAGGTGACACCTGTTTGTGTGATTAGCCAGATATGTGATGTGGGGTGGGGGGTTCAATTCTTTGTGAGCAAACTTACAAAGTCACCAGGGGATCAAATAATTATTTCCCCAATCACCTTGACCATGTCAACATGCCTAAATTCATTGAACTGCAGCCATGTGATTTGCTGATTAGGTGGGCCTAATAAAGTGGCTGCTGAGTGTAGTTATTTAAAATGATGCTTTTATAGATTTTTGGCTAGAACTTTAGCTGAGGCCACTTTGTTTACTTTTCATATTTATGTTCTTGTGGATGCAAAGGAGTCGAAGCGGCTCAGAGTCCAGTGGAATTTCTTTCTGAACAAATTTTCTCACGCGTCACCTCGACCTCTTCCCAAAACGTTTTAGTCTTTGTGCCAGTGAAACAACAGAGTTGTTTCAGTCTGTGTGTTTAGCGCATATTTCTGTTATTATAGTGATTTAACTTGTCACAAGCTTTAGCCAACTGTGGTGTGTTAATCTCAGTCCCTGCAAGTGGAGCGATCCAATTCTCTGCTGCGATTTTAGTTTCTAAATCTGCTGAAAACGCGTTATAAAAATTCGGATTTGACGCCCTTCCATTTATCTACTTCTTTCTAGCTATTTGCTGAATAAGACGCAGACAGTGGCAGTGTTGGTCAGAGTATTCATTTATTTATAGATGAAGTGCCGTAGTGAATCGAGGTCTTGATAAATGACTATGTGGGCGCATTTTCAGCAGTCGCAGTCCTATGAATCTACGGAGTGTTTTGTAGCACATAGGGAAGCAGTCTTTTCCCTACTTAAGCCTAAAATAGTAACACAGCTTCAGTAACGCCAAACTCAATAACTTGGGAATCTTTTAGCTTTTGCATATTAATCAACATCCTTCTCAGTGACTACAGTGACTAAGTGGCAGGTTCGTGAATGCATCACTTGGTGCACGGGAGCAGTGGCACAGATTGGTGCTGCAGTCTGGAGTTCAGGCAGTGGGATCAGGATGCATCTCAATTGAAACGCATCCATTAAATACACATCGAGCACTGGTGCCCTCTGAGCTGTCTGCTGGGCAGTGAGGGCTCATGGTTCAGCACAGACTGGGGGAATGACACTGAGCTTGAATCCTTTTTGGCAGTTAGCATCACTTAGAAACGCGATGAGTGATTTCTACAAAATGCGGCAACAAACAAAAACAACAACCAGTCAGCCGCTGTGGGCTGAAACAGTTCAGCGACCGATAGTCGGAGTGAGAGTGAAAGCTGTTCAAACAGCTATAATTTCAGCCAGCTGATCGCATCATTGACCAGTACTGCATGACAGAGGCTGAGCGCACATAGATGTACCTGCCGAAGAGGCCTCGCGGTATCGCGAACACAGCAGAAAAACGGGGCAAACCCGGAGAGAGCGGAGCGTTAATCCGCTGAAGGAAGCGGAGTAATCAACCCCGGGTTTAACATTCATTTCACCACATCGCTTACTCGCTGCCACTAAACACCGATATCAGCAAGGACATCACACACTCTGACGCACGCGTCTCCGAGGCACCGTTACACAGTCTCGAGCGGATCATCGTCGCGAGTTTCGGCTAATTGACACGCGAACCACGTTCACGTGCTGCCACAGGAGACGCGCGCAGACGCGCTCTTCAACTTCTCTGCCATGCACGCGCTCATCTATGCTGGGAGATGGCGTAATCTCTCACTGCCACATGCTCGAGTTGTTAGCGTGGCAGCTGCACCCAGCTAATTAGTTGCGTTATTATTGGTGTGTGTCTGCGTCTCAATAGTCGGAGATAAACTGTGAAACTAAACGTGACGGCTTGCTCTGTTTATTCTGCAGCGCTTCAGTATTTTGGTCAAACTGACACGACACAAAACACTAAAAAAATATTTTTATTTATACTGATCTTATAAATCATGTTTCTAAACTGCAACAAATTAACAAGTGCTCCCCCCTGACTGTCTGCGGTGCATATTAAATGTTCTTTTGTGTTTCCTGGCTTTACCAAAGTAGTCTCGCCCTGTCGGCTGAGTTGTCTCCCGCGTATTTTCGCATACAGGCGGCATAAATTTCATGTCAGCTTTCCTCAGTGCCATGTCGCTGCCTCGTCAAGCAGCAGCTTGAAGCAGCCAGGTTTCCTCGCTGTCAGTCGTGAAGGATTCTTGCATCAGCCAGGCTGCCTCCTACATTTCATATTCCCACTGATCTGTAATCCCATTCATTCGTCAGACGCATTCGCAGCCTTTGTTGAAGGTTTTAATATCGCGTTTGGTGGTGGCTTTTATTTTTGGATGTGCTGTATTTATTTAACGTGATTTCCCAGAAATTCACATGAGAAAATATTTCATATTAAAACCTAGGTTCACCAGTTTTTTTAACACCAGTGTTTTTAATATTTCTGGAGTGCATTTGAATATTTAATATACCATTTTTGTGGGTTTATAGCATCATATTATAGATGGCGCGTTTACAAAAAGATCTGAGGTTAGAATCAGAAAGAAAACCTGATTTAAATTTACCCAATTTTACCTTTTGAATGTTGTCTTCTCACGAACACACCTGCGCTCCTTTTAGGGTTGCTATCTTTAGGTTGCACCCTGGCAATACAAACATCAACTTCTCTTTCAAAATGACCCAAATGTCCTGTGAAGAAGCGCTGCTTGTGATCAGAGCTGTGTCTCTGGCTATGACCGAGAGATCAAAGAGTAGTTTTCAGCTGAAGTAGGAGCGTGGACAGTCACAGTGGCTTTTGCACCAGACTGTCAACACAAAGTTCTGCTGTAATGTCCCGAGGCACATGAAGTGAAAACATTTGAGAGAAACAATCTGACCCGTGCTGCATGCTGCTTTTTGGCCACATCAAACCCAAAATCAAGTCACTGCTGGTGCACAAAAAGGTGACCTTGAAGGAAATGGCACCTTCAAATGAATGAGCCTGGTCAAGTGGTCACAGAACTGACTGGGAAGCAGTGTGTGCCTCGCATCTGTGGATATCTCTGGTTGGAGATGTGCCTAATGTGTGTGTGTGTGTGTGTGTGTGTGTGTGTGTGTGTGTGTGTGTGTGTCCATCCAGGTAAGGTGCGCTGGCAGGATTTTGACCAGGATCTGTATGTTGGAGCCACGGTGGTCCGGCCAGGTCAAGACCCCTACGCCAGAAACAAGTTCAACCAGGTGGAAAGCGACAAACTCCGAATGGACAGAGCTGTACCAGACACGAGACATGATCAGTACGTACCTGTGTCACTGCACACACACAGAGCTAATATGTGAAACACAATGACATCCCTCTTAACTTCTGCTTTTTCATGGGTGATCGAAAGGGGGGTTTTTTTGCGAATACATGCTGTCTTATCACATTCGTTGATTTGACTAATTGATCCCAGACTGGATAAGATCTCTCAGGAACTCTCGCTATTGTGGTTACAGTGGAAACCAGGAAGTAGCAGTGGAGCAGACACTGTCTGCCTTAGTGCTAAAATAAACCCACAGGCTGTAAAAGCTGCGTATTGTTCTGCTTGTTGTAACGGACAAAACAAAATCAGAAAATGACTTCGTTTGGATTCTTTTATTAGAAGAATATTAGGTTTTAGTCAGCTTGGATCTCAACAGGCCTTTTTAGCAGTGAAAAGTCCATTAGCGTTGTATAAGTCTGGTTGCATGTCCTAACTTCTGGTGCTACCCTTTTGTTAATAAAGACCAAATCGCTGGATTGTGTGAAAAAATGTCAGCAGAAAGGCCTTACACCAAGAGAACAGGCACCGCTGAAGTGTTGAAATATTAAAGAGCAAGTTTTTACTTTTTCTAATACAGCAGCAGAAAAAGGGATTTATATATGTAGTATCCAAAATATTTGGAACACCATTTCCTGGACTTGTAGAGACTTCTTTATCTTGGATATATCTCACATGGACTAAGCAATACTAACAAATAACTTCTTAAAAAGCAAGCATAAACAAAACGTCATGGTGAAACTTTAAGTCCTCCATATTTGGTATGATATAGGGTTTAAATGATTAATACAAACATTCCATATCACGTGTTTAAACTAAGGTATTTATTAATGTATATTCTCATTCAATTTGTTCCCTTTAAACACATTTCAGTGAAGTTGTGACAGGGTGCAGCGTCATCTTGTCTTTAAACACCACTGTAAGCATGTAAGAACTGAGGAACAAAATTAAATATGTTCCCAGCCTTTTTTGGTTTCTTATGGTTTTTAAATTTCATGATGCGAGTGAAAAACCGAGACTACGGGCTTTATCACGTGAACACTTACAGTGGAGCTGTGCCGCTGCAGTACACGCAGGTTGTGGTTTACCATGGTCTTGCTGAAACGAGCAAGTCAGCCCAGAAAATCTCCATGACCACAGACGTTGCTCCAAAACAAGTCCTTTTTTCCATATCGTACAGAAAATAGCCTCCAGTTTTCCTCTCCGCCTCAGTTGCTCCTCCGATCGCTGTTTTATTTCTTTGCAAAGGGAGAGTTTAAAGTTGTTTTTATTAATGCAGAGAGAAACTGCATTCAGTGATGCTGATTCTTGCTCGAGTCCCCGAGGCCGTGCAGATATTTCCACTACAGAATTGCTTGTTTTCATCCAGTGCTCCCTGAAGCCATGAAAGTCATAGGCATGACAAGTACCAAGCTTTTATTTTGCTCCATAGATAATTGCAATCTACCGTGCATAAGTTCTTCAAATTCTCTGTGGTTTTATTTTTCATAATCTTATAGAATTTTAAAGACCCCTCCATACTTTGCTTGTGAAATACCTTGAAATATGTTGATATTAGACTTTTTTTGATGTTATTTATATAAAAAGAACATGATTCCAAACATGTTACTGACCTACTCCATAATAGTCTAAATGATTAGTCCAGCTGCCATAGTTAAAGTAGTCACCTGGCCTTACTTATATGTTGGTCAAAAGTAGACAGTTGGAGCCATTAGCCTACTAAAAAGAGCAAGGATGTGTCTCCTATTGATCTGGTATCGATGTCTTTGTAATTTGTGAGCGTGCTGCAGCAATCATTGTGAAACATTTCCAGGAGGAAAAAATAGCCCAGTTGTTTTTGTTTCAGCAAAAGCACCTAGTTGTTTTCAACGCAGGATCAAAATGACTTGAATCTCTGATGCTTTTTTCCCCCAGTAGAAATGAACAGGAATACAGCAACTATGCAAGTGTGACAGCCAATACTAATGGCACACCTTCACACGTGATCTTGTAAAACGTATCTGTTCTGGGTTTTTACCTCGAGGTTTGACAGAGTGGCTGTAGTTAAGTGACAGATGGAATAGAAAGTTTTCTTCATGCCCTTATCGGCTCCCTCCTCCTCCTCCTCCTTCTCCTCTCTGTCTTGTCACTCTCCTCTCATGTAGTGCCCTATCACTCATGTTCCTTACTTTAAATTCGGTGCAGGATTTGTCTTTTTGGGTATGCTCGCACACACACATACACGCATACACAGGCACACCCGTCATCTCATGGGATTTTTGCCTCACGGTATGATAAACCCAGTGTCAATCCCAGCTGCAGCAGAGCATTACTCCATGAGAGTGTGTGTCATTGCATCCTCTGTGTGTGTGTCAGTGTCACTATGTGCGCCATCGTATTTATTGTGTTCAAAATCGCTTTACTGACCAGTTCCAGCTCACAGCTTGGCTCACACATTCGGTGACGTGATTGTTTGTGCGTGTGGGCGTGTTTGTCTACGCATGTAAGCATTCATACTTTAACCATTTTTTTTCTCTTTTTTTCCCTAATTTTTATGTCTTTGGGGGGTTTTGTCTTGTTTTTGTGCAGTTGCAGACATAAGCAGTGGAAGTCAGACCTGCCGGCCTCGAGCGTTGTCATCACCTTCCACAATGAGGCTCGCTCTGCTCTGCTGCGGACTGTGGTCAGGTAGGCGTGTATACTGAGCCTTGTGTACTTTCAAATTCTGAGGCAGATGTGCTGTATTTTTATATGATCTCACTCTGTTTAGTGTCCTGAAGAAAAGTCCACCTCACTTGGTCAAAGAGATCATTCTGGTTGATGACTACAGTGATAATCGTGAGTTGTGTGAACACACGCAAACAAAGCTAGCATCATCAGTGTGAAAATACAAATAAACATCACTGCTCTGCGTGTGTCTGTGTGTGTTCCAGCTGAGGATGGAGCGCTGCTGGGGAAGATTGAGAAAGTACGCGTGTTGAGAAATGACCGCAGAGAAGGTACTTTAGAAGAAGAAGGTTTTATCATAACTTTTATGCCCGAAAGAAATCTCAGTGCTGCTGCACACCATGTGGGATGAAAGTGTTCAGTCTGGCAGCAGGACTGTTGTTTTTAATCACACTTCTTTTCTTAACTTCCCTCAGGCTTGATGCGATCAAGAGTTCGTGGTGCAGATGCTGCCACAGCACCAGTCCTCACCTTCCTGGACTCTCACTGTGAATGTAATGACCACTGGCTAGAGCCGCTGCTTGAAAGAGTGGCTGAGGTACGCGCGCACACAGCGTACAACTTCGTATCTTAATATCATTATAATACATTTGAGCACATATCCCAGTGAACAAACAAGTGAAAAACAATAGTTAAGATACAAATTAGATGGGGGGGGGGGGTTCCTCTTAAAGACTGGCATTGAATTTTCAGTTTTATCAGTCAGGGCACGCTCTGAAGAAGATCTCGCCAGACAGTGAAATTGTTGCACTTTGGCCATCTTTCTTCTAATACGACAGCTTGAAATGAAAAGTGCCCTTTTAACTGAGTTATGTTTGCATATAGCCTTGTTTTTGATTCTAATTGGTTTAAAATCTAAAGCAGAATAATAAAAAAAAGAAGCTACTTTCAACTAATCCCTTATTCTAAAGGGGTCACCATGGTGTGTTGCTCTACAAGTTTGTACGCCTTGCCGACACAACCCAAAAGGGATTTGTTTCTCCTCCCGGGAAAGATACAAACTTTGTATCTTTTGCTTGTTGGGAGAATGTGTAAGCCACTACACTGTGGAGCTATTCCAAAGCAAAAGTGTGACATAAACAACTCATTCATAGTGAAAATGCCCAGAAAACCTGTTGAAATTTTAATTGGTTTCAGAGGGACAGAGTAAACCATTTAATAGACCAATAGAAGGAAACAAAGGCAGTCAGTTATGTCACTGTGCATTGATTGACACGTGTAAACATTACACTGGATTCAGCCCAATTTCTTGTGCACTGACCTGTTATCTTTAGTCAGAGTGGGGGAAAATATCGTAGATATGTAGCGGTTCAGTTCTTGGCTGCTCCGGTCTGCATGCCAAAGTATCACCGTGTAATTGTTAGACACTATTTAGTGTAGACAAAAATGCTTGTATGAATGTGTGTGAAAGGAGCATGTTGTTTAAAGTGCTTTGAGTGCTCAAATACAATCTATAATAATCAGTCCATATACCATTGATAAGTGAAAAACAGTTCACATGTTGTAATTGTGCTCATAAATGGTTTAAATGATGATACCATAGTTTGATCTAAAAAGAAAACGGCCAAAAAACTACAAAATGCTCATTTAAAAATAACAAAAACGCTGGAAACAAAATAAATCTTTTAGGGGGAAAGTTTCCGAACACTCAGTCACTTTATTATTAGGTACTCGTCTTACCTACAACTCATTGAAAATATCCATTTAGCCAATCACATGGCAGCAGCTCAGTGGATTTAGGTTTGTAGATACAGTCAAGACAACCCGCTAACTTTCAACGTTGAATGTAGCGTGGTAGTTGATGCCAGGGGGAGTGGCCTAAGTATCTCATAAACTACTAATCTACTGGGATTTAACAACAGAGCCATCTCTAGGGTTTATAGCGAATGGCCCAAAACTACAGTAACTCAAATAACCGCTTGTAACAACCAAGATATGCAAAAAAACATCTCTGAACAACACATTTGCCTTGAAGCAGATGGGCTACACCAAGCAAAAGACCGCACTGGGTGCCACTCCTGTCAGCTGAGAGCAGGAAACTGAGGCTACAGTTCAGACGGGCTCACTAAAATTGGAAAATAGAAGATTGGAAAAATGTTGCAACATTCAGATGTTGGAGTCAAAATCTGGTCAAAGGATGGATCCATTCTGCCTTGTATCAACAGTTTAGGCTGGTGGTAGTGTAATGGCAGAGTTTTGGACCTTTTACTACCAACTGAGCATTGTTTGGACACCATGGCTTGTCTAAGTATTGATGCTGACCCCTTATGACCACAGTTCACAAGTGCTCAGTGGGCCTCAACAATCCCCAGATTTTTATTCAAATAGAGCAATTTTAGCATATAATGTGTAGATTCCCATCATGGAAATGCAGTTGAAAAACTGTGATGCTGTCATGTCAGTGTGGAATAAAATCTTTGAGCAATGTCCAGCACCCTGTCGAATCTGTGCCACGAGAAATTAAAGCAGCTCTGGAGACAAAAGTGGATCCATTCCCAAAATAGCAAAGTTGACCTGATAAAGTACCTGACCAGTGTATCCCAGTAAAATACGCATAAAATTGATCCAATCCATGTTTTTTTCCATCTAATCCTTTACACAGAGGCTGGGGTTGGCTACAAAGCAGCACCTCTGAGCTTATAATCAGTCAGTGTCTTGCTAACATTCATGTGAGAAACAAGGAGCGCATGACTACATTTCATTCACACAGGAATGTTGGGCCTGTTTTCATTATAAAAGCCCATTATCACAGCTAAACCTGACAGTGTGAGACATGCAGATCTTGATGGGTGACAAGATCTTTTATCTTTTGGGGCTGGCAATTTGATTTTTATTTCCATTAAAGGAAAAACTTTATAAACGCAAACCGAGCTCTCTTACAGATACAGTCTGGTGATATTTAGAGCGAAGCCTTTTTTTAAAATAAAGACTTCAAAAAGGAGCTTCATGATTGACTGTAATCTTAATCTGAAATGGGACACTGTGTATAAAATTGAGGTTGTTCTTTAAAAATGTATCTGATTTGACTTAAAACAGTCTGATTCTGCATTTGATCCTCCCGAATGTGCTGTTTTGTTGTTCCCTCGTTAATAAATGCCTGGAGCCAAGTCTGAAACGCTGCGCTGTCAGAGTAATTCACTTTGTTTTTCTTTTGCTTTAGCTGCTTCTCTAAATAATGAATCCCACCATACACTGTGAAACCTTGTCTTATAAAAATGTCTCAGGCTCAAACAAATGAACTCCCCAATATCTGCAAGCTGTTTCTGTTTTCGTCATTCGGGCCGCTTGAGTAATCCTTTCTTCAAACTGCCGGGTGATGTGGCTCTGTGATTTTTAAAGCTTGGGTTTGTTTTGGTGTTGGTAGGAAATGGCTGATTAACGTTCAGTTTTACGTCATAAACGTGGCAGTAAACTAAATATAGAACATAAAATAAGCTTGCAGATGGGAATATTTACTTACGCTCTAAAATTTCGCAAACACAGTTAAGTGCTCTGAGTCCTTTGTAGTTCTGCATAATTTTGTCCTTTTTAATTAACTTGTAGTAAATATTTATTGATGATATTCCAAACCTGCATCCGTCCTTGAAGTGGCTTTGTTTAATTACTGTCTCCGTGTTTCCTTCTCAGGATAAGACACGAGTAGTTTCTCCCATCATTGATGTCATCAACATGGACAACTTTCAATATGTCGGCGCCTCTGCCGATCTGAAAGGAGGTAAAGTACACAAAAGACACACTCGACTCCTGTGTAGTCTAGTCAGTCGAGCTTGACAGCGAGGCTTTGCATTTATTACGGTTTTAGAGGATTTGCTTTTTAATGCTTTTCATTTACAATGAATTGACGTTGTTATCTCACAGCCGCATTAAGACCAGGTGTTTTGCCATCCAGTGCTGTAGTTCATAAACTGTTCTCTCCAGGTATTTCTCATACTTAAGGCAAGGCCTCCTGAGGAACATGGTATATTTCAAACTGTTTCTCACCAGGAAATGTTCACTGAACAGTGCCTCCTCTTCAAAGTATTGCAGACATTATCTTATTATCTCATGAGGCAGCACACATGATCCCCCACTTGTTCATCATAAATCTTTTAGACAGTTCCTTCTTTTATTCTGACATAGGCTGAATGGAACATCACGCCTACTTTGTACTGGAGAGCTGGTGGGTTAAAGACAGTTTAATGTCCAATCCAACTGATTTGGGCATGTGCCTTCTTGAGTATAACTCCAGTAGATGATATCCAGAAAGGACATTAATGAATTCAAGTTAATTAAATAATTGGTGTCATATATGTAATTTTACGCATTAAATATCCTTTTTTTACCCACTGTGATGCTGATGGATATAACTTACATACGGTGCAATGCACACTGGAAATGGAAGAACTACTCATAGCTTAAAAACCCCCCACTCTTTTTTATATTAATAATTAATTAACGACTTCACATAATAAAAAATTTAATGTTCTGAATGTGAAACTGCCTTGCAGTCGCATTCTTAATTTGGCTGGATTAGCAAGTGTTGGCACTTGCATTGCAACATTTCTCTTTTTTTGTCTGTGAGATATATTAATGTAAAAGCCAAAGTGGTGTACTGGCTGTGCTGATTGCAGTGTATTGTAGAACAGATACATGCCAGTTACACTAGTTTAACTCTCTCTGCTAACACTTAAACAGTTACAGCAGTTGCCTTTGAAGTCAGGCAACTGCTGATTTACCCAGTCATCTAATATGAACCTGCCAAATCCAATTATACAACCAGACTGCTACTTAATCCCAGCTAATGGTCGTAATTGTGCTGTGTTTTTTTGTCTGTGTGTTTATGTTGGCAGGCTTTGACTGGAATTTGGTGTTTAAATGGGACTACATGACTCTGGAGCAGAGACGAGCCAGACAAGGCAACCCGATCGCTCCTATAAAGTAAGACAAACACACTTTCAAAAGTTACAGGTTGTATCACATGCAACTAACAGAGTATTAATCTACTCAATTTTTACCAATGCCTTCTCAATTTTCTTGTTTTTTTTTGTTTTTTTTCTGCCCCTCCAGGACACCAATGATAGCAGGTGGCCTCTTTGTCATGGATAAAGAGTACTTTGAGCAGCTGGGAAAGTATGACATGATGATGGATGTATGGGGAGGGGAAAATCTCGGTGAGTGGTGCAATTTAGAAGCTCACGGTAGACTGAAGAAAGTGTCTAATGGATGTCGCAAGAATAGAAAGTCTTGATTAGTGAAAGAATCAAAAATTGCATAAATCACAGGTATTAAAAGTGGAAAGTCAAGTGAAGTCGCAGGCATGTCCTGGGTTTCCCGTTTTGTCTCCAGGCTTTTAAGGTTTTAATGAGTGTTTTGGAAAATACACTCATTCACTTTCTTTGAGCAGGTTTAATAGCACAGTCCTATATGTCCATTGAGTATAATGATGTTATATCATTATGAAATGATAAATGTATAAAATGTTATAAACTTTTAATACAGAGACTAGAGCAGTCTGTTTGCATTCAAGGGCATGTGCTGCATTGGTTTGAATCATATCAAACCAAATTTGTGCATTTAAATGTTTTTGTCTTCTTTACACATTAAAGTTAGCCACGGTGTTCCACAGGGTTCCGTGTTGGGGCCGATCCTTTTTACCGTATACATGCTTCCCTTAGGTAATATTATTAGAACTGCCCTCCATACACTTTCATTTCTATGCAGATGACACCCAGCTATATTTCTCAATGAAACTCAGTGATGACAAATAAATTGAAGTCCCTTTTTTTTCTTTTCTTTTAAAGCTCAAGCCAAGCATTTTGCTGCTGTCATCTGATCATTCAGTAGCGAATAATGAAATAACCTTGCACTAAAACATTGCCTGATTTATTTACTTTTTGTTTTTGTAATTTTATGTTTAAAAAGACTTGAAATTAGTAATTGAAGCCATAAACACATCAAGAACCGGTTTACTGAGTCTGCTGATTCTATGCATCCAACAGGCAGTCAATTTTTTTGCTGTTTTGTTGACGTTATGTTTGCACATCCTTATATGCTGGACAGTGATTTGGCTAAACAAACAATGGAGGATTTTGTGAGCTTTGGATAGAGCTGGGTTTGCTGTTTCCTGTTGCTTGTACTCTCAATGATAAGCTACGTGATTACTGGCTGCATCGTTATACTTGACATGTAACTGTGATAATTGTATCAAACCTCTGATCTCATTCTCTGCAGAAAACCTAATACATGTCTCTCCAAAATGTTGAACTATATCTTTAAGACTTAAATGAGCTTGCAACTGTAATCTCTTTCCCTCATAAATGCTGCACTTTTGGCTCAGAAAACCACAAATTCCTGCCCAGTTATAAAATCTCCACTCCCCTGTGAGATCTGGTGCTAAAGCAGCAACGTGGATTTGCCTCACACTGTGATCAACTCATGAGATCATCTGGGTGCCCATGCCAACAACGAGATAATAGAAAATCCTTCAGTAATTTGGTTGTCATATCTAGGTAAAAGATGTCTTCCTTAGTACAGTTGATCTTAGGAAATTACAGTGGCAGTGTAATAATGTTTAGAGTCAGTGCAGAGTGTGCACAATAGAGCTCATTTGCAAACAGTACAATGATATAATAGCAGCTGTGTCTCCCTTTTGCTTTTGTCTGAATGCACTTGGGAAATCGGTAAGAATAAACAGCTGACGGAGTGATTCAGGCTCCTCTCGAGGCGGTCCAATGAATCAGAACTGGATTGACAGTTCAGACATTGCTGTGCTCATTTAAAGAACGCTCATTCAAATGCTGACAATGCTGGAGAGCAAATCTAACAATGTCAACACACTCCAAACATTCATGATATGCAGATGTGGATTAACTTAACTACTTTTTCTTGGCTTGTAGTAATTAACTTACCTGTTTTTATTCATTTTTTCCGCCTGCGTGTATGTCTGTGTGTGTTTTTAGAGATCTCATTTCGTGTGTGGCAATGTGGCGGCAGTCTGGAGATCATCCCCTGCAGCAGAGTTGGCCACGTCTTCAGAAAGCAGCATCCTTATACCTTCCCGGGTGGCAGTGGCACTGTGTTCGCAAGGTGACACACATGCAGACACACACATACAAGAGGGCTGAACACTCATTTAACCAGTCAGGTTACACGCATCACATAGTTCATCAAAATTCCCCATGTTGCAGCCTGTGCATCTCCATAATGACACTACAGTTAATGCATTTGGGTTTATTTGGTGACTTTAGCTCAGAAGGTGAAGCCACACAGTTCTCTATTTGTCATATCCAAAAACACACCAAAGCCCAAATGCATTCTGAGGTTAGGCCCAGCCTTCCATATCATCAGTATGTGAATGGGTAATCAAATGCAAAGAGCTTTGGATAATAGCAGTACTTGAATTCATTCAATTTATTTATTATTATTGCTGCTGAGCATATATAAAAAACTTGTTTTCTCCTTACATAAAATATGGGAGGGGAAATCTCTATTTAAGTAGTTTCACTGTAAATCACAAGAAATGTGGAGGCTAAATGGACTGTCCTTTATATATAATGCTTTTCTAGTCTTAATGACCACTCAAAGCACTTTTACAGTACAAGCCACATTGCTTTTATCGATCACGCACATGCATAGGGAGCAATTATGTTTACAGAATCTTGCCCAAGGGCACTTAAAACATGCAGACCGGAGAAGACGATGATTGAACCCCTGACCTTTCTGTCAAATGGTGACCTGCTCTAACACAACCCACTCTTCATTTCTAAGAGTCAGTTAAAGTTAGGAGACAGTTTGACTCAACTGTAGTGACATTTCAAGACCAAATACTGAGGATGTTTATCCTGAGGTTCAAATTTCACTCACTAAATTTAATGTGGAAACAGCCTTTGAGAAAACATTCCCACCACAAGGTTCGTTTACTGGATCCTCCGGGGCCTTTTTGTCTTGTCACGTGATTTTCATCAGCAGATGAGTTTGCTGTTCAGCTTGAAACTGAAGATTTTTGATTTACACTTTTCTGTGCAGCAGAACAACCGCACAGAAAAGGACTAGCTGAGCGTGTTCCAACTTTAACAGGGTTAAGAAGACTTTTTTGTTTGTTTGTTTGTTTGTTTTAAATCTGCAGTTCACTGACAGCTAATACAGTCAATCAGCTGATGTTTAAGTGACCTAGCAGTCTCAGAAAAACCTTGACATTTTATGATACTTTTTACCATAGAAGCAGTTTAAGCTCTTCCTTTCCATTTTGATGATGGTTTTTCAATATTTATACTGGCTTTTCTTTTTAAAGCACTTTGAATTTCCGTAATGTACTTATTTGCTTAAAAGCAATATACTAATATATATTATAGCCTAATATACAGTTATAATGTTAGCTCCTCATATTTATAAGGTCAGGGTACCGTCAAATAGTCTCTGCAAGCCAAAGCTCAGATGTCCGTTTGCTCTCATCTCTGCCTTTTCAGACAGTTTTTTCTAATCTTGGCTCTCTGTGATAACAAAGAGAGGGCATATCGGTGCTATGCTCATCTCTGCCTTTGAGCACAACAGCTCCACCCGCCTGCAGCTTAGACCCTTAAACAAGGAGGAATAGAGGTAAAAAGGCTTAATTCAGACAGCAGGTGACCTGAGGGGCTGCACCAAGACCGAGTGTGTAGGATAAAAGAGACTTCTCTTTGTGAGTTGTGTGAATTGCTCCTTTGAGTCCTGGAGTAAAACTATGGACCTGGAAATGAGCACAGATCATGTGTATAGGTCTCTTTTGGTTCATTATTTTCTGTGGCTGCAGTTTGTAAATTACCAAACAAGTTATTGAGTTTTACTAATGCTCTGAGAATTAAATCAGCGTGGAGTAATTAAAACAAAGTACCATCAATTAAACAAGTTCATGAATATTTCCTTCAAAAATAAAAAAAAATAAAAACTGTGAATAAAAGTGAAGAAAATCTGTTTTTTCCATGTGCTGCCCTTTAGGGCTGCGATATGTGCGGCACCATAAACATTGAACACGAGTAGTGGAGAATGTGATACATGGGCAGATATGGATCTGTCTCTTGAAACCATGAGTAACCACCCTTGGTAATGAGCCCAACAAGCCTTCAGTCTCCCGATTGGTAAACATGTGGGAGGATAAACAAACAGATAACAAGGAGCTTGAAATGACTGTGGTTACTCTGGTACTGGCTGTGATTAATATTTTTAAAGGGGAGCAAGAAATAAAGAGCATGTCAGGGTGACATGTGGTGCCTATTCTGCAGTAGCTCCTATTTTTGAGTTGGGGCTATTAGTTGACTTCAGCCCCTCATTTCTTATCAGTTAGTTACATACAAATACCTGAAGAGATTTAATTCATAGCTCGGTAGAACCTTAGAGGGGAAAAAACTGTGGATGAAATTCAACATTAAACCAACATTTATTCAAACAGTGTCAAAGATTAGACACCACCGGTGGACTGCTAATGTTTTCATCAGTTTCATAACACTGAACACAGTCTCATATTAGTTGCACAACCATTCCTAACAATCGAAGACATCACTTATTAATCAGTGGGTGCAGTGGAGTTCTCCATTACAGAGCAGAGCAGCTTCATCTGTGCTCTGAGGCAGCGCCTTGCCCTTCAGCCTGAATCAAGTCCCAGACAGCATCCCTGTGGCTGCTGCAGTGACTCTGGGGACCTCGGAGACGGCACCTGTTTTGTCTGCCTGGATGACATTGTAATTGTTCTTCAGGGAGCAGCATTTCACAGCAGAGTTATAATAGGCGTGTTGTGGCAGCAGCAGCTTGCTATGTGACAAAAAGCCCCTGTGGACCTAAATAAAGTTTGCAGTGTGTGGCGTCGGTATTTTTGGGATGCAGGTGCATGAGAGTAAAAAAATCCTGCAAGACAAAGAGACTGCACATCAAAATAAACCCTTAAAATACCGTAATAATGATAGGGCATCTAGTGTCACCACGGTCGCTGGTAACCTTCAGATGTTAGAAGAGTTGTTTTCTTGAAGCTTCTCTTCCAGTAAGTGGAAGCCGAGTTTGGAAATGTCTAGAAATATGTGAGCCTCACTAAGACAAAACCACTGCTCGCTATTTAAAACTGTGCAACTCGTGGGTTTTAGAGAATTTCTGCAGAATATGAAAGGCTTCCGGCAAGCGCGTCATAACTTTTGCTTTTGACATCATATAAAGAGGCACTTAGTTTCCCTATAATTTGGTCAAAGCATTTACACTTTAGGGATTCACAGGTAAACATAATGAAGCTGATTGTATTGCAGTTATGGCTATAATTAACCCTGCTAGCAGTTTTAACCCTATTTTTAAGTCTGAACTGTGAAATAATTGCCTGAAAATTCACAAAAATAGTAATTGGAGTGCTTGTTTAACTTTCTCACTATGTTATCCTACTTTATGAGACACTGGATGAACCAGAGGAGCATATCTGTTCCTAAGAAACTGTATTGCAAAAATAGTGTTTGTGCAATCCATAAACAGTGAGGCCGATATAAACTGGTTCCAGTACTGAGGTTTGCAAACTGGGAGAGCAACAGAAGCTACTAAGGTCTCACTGTTACCCCCCGTTGCTATAATCATCGTTGCACTCTTTCTCTTGTCTTGATTCGGTCTAAGGAAGGACTGTTAGTGTCATACTTTGAGCTGCTCTGGACTGCAAAGATTGAGTTGTATTTTATTGACTCCAGCCGACACGTAGTCTGTCAGAAGTCCGTTACATCACTCGAAAAATAAAAATCTGACAAATTGTCAAATGTCACACGTCAACACTTTGTTTGGCAGCATGCACACGCTGTTGACCAACGGCTGCAATAACAGGGAAAATAAACACACATTCACATTTGTACAGCCAGGATAACTGTGCCCTCTGATGGCTGTCGGGGGGTGTATGAGCAGGCAGTGAGTGTGTCACAACCACCAAACAGACACGTCCATTCAGGAGTCGTGCAGTGTGCCACATACCTTTCTGTCTTTTTTTTTTTTTTTTTTAATCCTCACCGACTCTCGGTCTTATCCTCACCCATTGTCTCCCTCGCCTTTGTGCATTTTCTTCTTCTCACCCATCCATCAGGAACACAAGGAGAGCAGCAGAGGTGTGGATGGACGAGTATAAAAACTTCTACTATGCCGCTGTCCCCTCAGCAAGAAATGTCCCCTATGGGAAGTAAGTACTATGAAGTATTAGCCCTGTGGGAGTTGAACATAATAATGGAGCTGGATCATAAAATTACAAAGGCAGCCACTTGAATGGACATAATAATTATAATTGTACTGCCAATTAGCAGAATGTAAGCCATAAAAGGTGTAATTTTTCCCTTTTATACTTAAGTGAGGATGTTAATGTAGCTCAGAAGAGGACAAAAAGTCAGTGGCTGATTTACAATACTGGAAACGCTGCTGTTATTTATGCCCTAAAGGGATGACAACGCTCCTTAAAAAGGTTGGCGCAGGATTGTTTCAAGCGTAGTGACAGCGTCAGTCATCCGCCATTAAAAAAAATACCTACAGCTGCTGAATGGATTGACATTCATGTTCTTTAGGGGGTGACACCTGCTGACTTTGTGATCCTCTTAGTTTTATGCCACCAGCAGGACAAAGTAAGTACTGTAAGTGTGTTAAGGAATGCTTTTCACCCTTATACTAGTTTCCTTCTGCTTTATGCCACACATCCAGAAGTCTACACAGCAATAAGCACTTTCACATTCAACCAGAGTAGCTAGACAGCACTATATATGCTTATTATGTGACCTTGTGGGAACAGACTTGGCATCTCCCCTCTAGTGTCAGTCCAAACAGTTATATTTTCCCCAAAGGATCTAGACTCAGACATGCCCCGAGCCTCCACTCTCTCCCCTTACAAAGCGACTGACGAGGCGTATAATTTAAACATGAAACCACAGCTGATTCAACCCTTTAATTCTCTTCCTCCATCTCCTTCCTCTCCCTCAGTATCCAGAGTCGTTTGGAGATGAAGAAGAGATTAAACTGTAAGCCATTCAAATGGTACCTGGAGAATGTCTACCCTGAGCTGAGGTAAGAAAATGAGGGCAGTCTGTGCAATATGATGGAGCCAGTGTTACACTGCATGACATGTAATGTTGTATAATCAAAACTAAATTGCATTTACCAAATTGTTAGGAGACCACTCCTCAGCCAGAAGTTTGAAATATGACTTTGTGCTAATGTGTGGCGGGATGTTTTATACACAAATGAGACTGCAGTGACGCTAATGCCCAACCAGGAGTTATGATTCAAGGTCATTATTACATTTTCACAAGGTTCTCAGGTTCGCAATTAGTGGCTGATGTGAATGAGTCCACAAGTTCAGCAGAGAGCACCTCTGATGTAAATCTGACTGCTAGATTGCACCACTCCCAGCGTTTTTGCTACATTTTGCCTGAAGGTCAAGTTATGACCGCTGTCACAGACTCTGGTACTCCTCCAGGTTGTCAGATAGGCAAACCTTGAGCTTGAATGTACTTTTAAGTAAGTACAAAGTTGCTTACATCTAAATCTGTTGAGCAGCGTTGGTGAGAAACAAAGATTTTTTTGAGGATTGCCAAAAAACCCTTATTTTTGACACACCAGAATCACCATCGCACACTGGAACAGTTCAGGTTGTTTGGACCAAATCTTCTCCATCACATGTCTCAGGATAATAAAGTAGAACTACTGCTGATAGGTTCATGGGCTTTCTGCATATCTGTGAAATGCACATGTGCAACTGGTCAGAGTGGGACTTTCAGAGAGCGTATTCAAATTTAGCATGAGCCTGGGGCATGGTGTATCACTGCACAGTGAAACAATCTTTAAAAGCATAAAAACCACATTAAATCTCAGGCATACTTCTTGCTTTTATGTTTTCACAGGGGGAGGAACATTAAAATTGCACCTTTTTAATGCTTCTAATTTGAATAATTTAACTTTTACAGAAACATTAAAGCCCCATTGTTCTGTTTTGTCAGAAGAAAATTGACTATTTTCCTCTCTTGCTGTATCTCGGCCTGTACGCTTTCTTTGTTTGGCTTTTTAACAGCTTGAAAAACTGAATACACGCTTCACTAACACTTTTTCGTGTGTGTGTTCAGGGTCCCAGATCACCAGGACATTGCTTTCGGAGCCCTGCAGCAGGGAGGAAACTGTCTGGACACCTTGGGTCACTTTGCTGATGGTGTGGTCGGCGTCTATGAATGTCACAATGCAGGGGGAAACCAGGTAGCGTTACGGCGAGGGGACACCCAGGTCAGCTTGTAAAAGCCTAACCTTAGCGACTCGTGAGTGGCAAGTGGTGTACATATGGTGAAAGCACAGGGGGTATGATAAAGGATTTACGTATTTAAGGTCACAGTGCCATACTTAAAGTAAATGTATTGTAATCAAAAGGACAAAGATGTTTAAACACGAGGTTGTTAAGACTAGAGTAGAGCAGATCTATTGAAACTTTAACTTAAATATAGAGTAGTGCATAACAGCATTTTAACGTTGTTCTTAGAGGAAATGTACAGCTCTTGGAGTACCTTGAGGAGGATACACACTATGTCTGTGTGTGTAAGTTTGTGGGGAGTGTTTCTGTCAGCAGTTTCTCAAATAGTTGAAATCCTGAAATAGAATGACAGGTGTAGAGAAGAAAACTGCTGTCGCGTCGAGTCAGCGATCGCTGGCTTTTTTTGTTTTACCCTCGTGGATTTGCAGGTCTTTACTGTTTCCAGTGTTGCTTCATAAATACAGCAAATACAGCTAAGAAACATATCTGCTCACAAGTGGGAAATGTTCAGGACATGTACCAGTATTCCCAAGGTCAAACCGTGAAATATTAATGGTTGTGCAACATCCTTTAGAAGACGAGACAGAAGAGGAGACGCTTTGCTGTAATTCACAGGGCCACATTTGGCAAAAAGCAAACATGGTGCTTTATTATCCTCTTATATGAAAAACGTTAGAATTGGAAGAGGGTGTACTTTGTTTTTACTATTCATTTTTTAAAATGAATAGCCATTCTCAAAGAGACACAACAGAAGTGAAGTACCACAAATAATGTCTCCATTTTATTCACACTCATACCAGGCAGTCTCTTTACTAAACTAACGGCCAATTATTATTGTTGTTATTATTATGGGTTTGTATACTTTCTAAAATTTATTTAAAATATACAGAGATTTTCTCAGCCACCAAGCTTTACCTGCTGGGTTTATTTAATGGCCTTAATGTGGCTTTAACATGGGCACTGTGTTCTCAGAGCAATCAGAGTCCTGCTTGTGAGATTTCCACAGGGAGCTCCAGATTCTCTCTATCACGATGCTGCCCATGGTGCCCATTTTGCAAAATACATTTTTGTTATTTTTCCTGTGTAAATAAGAGGAAAACATGATCATTACTTGATATAAAAGACGTGTTATTAGATAAAGCCTTGCTGAGAACATCCCAGCATGCTTTACGTGTGCTAATATTTTACGTGTATCCATTTTTATAAAGGAATGGGCTCTAACCAAGGATAAATCGGTAAAACATATGGACCTGTGTCTGACTGTGGTGGACAGAACAGCTGGTTCCCTCATCAAACTACAAGGCTGTAGAGAGAATGACAGCAGACAGGTAAACACACACTGAAATCGCCTTTATTGTTGTTTATACCCCAAAAAAGGTACAGCGTTCAATATTTGTGACATCGTGTTGTTTGTCGTCCAGAAATGGGAGCAGATCGAGTCCAACTCGAAGCTTCGTCACGTGGGCAGTAACCTCTGCCTGGACAGCCGCAGCGCCAGGATGGGCGGACTCACTGTGGAGGTCTGCAGCCCGAGCCTCACCCAGCAGTGGAAGTTCACTCTCAATTTACAATCGTAGGGGGCGCTCCAGATCCCCGGAAGACTCGGTATAGCGAAGAGAAACACCTACAGACTCCTGAGATGCGGCTAAAAAGATGAATAGACTCAAGAAGAAAGACAAACTCTTCCTCCTTCTCCTCCTTCCTCCTCCACAGAGGTACAGCCAGTCACGTGCGCACCCTTCTCTCACCCATCTCCCTAAACGATGAGCCACGCGTAATGAAGGGAGGGGCCGGGAGACCCAAATGGAGTTAACAGGAACCTGACTGCATGTGGTGGATGGATGGTGGCGATCACGAGGATAAAGGAGACGAAGAGGCTTTTGTTTCAAAAATACATACCTCAGTGTTTTCTCATTGATGGTTCCAGCTGCAAACGGCGAAATCGTTCTTCTCCTTTCTTTAATGCTGGTGGAAAGAGAATTTTTTTGGTGTACTTGTTTTATTTTCTTATTCATATTTTTTATTTCTTGCTGTTAACTGTCCACAGAGACTTGCTTTTTTTCCTTCTTCTTCTTCTTGGAAGCATCCTGTAATGGCAGATGGAGCCTTCAGGTTGTGGTTTCGGGGAGGTGTGGGTTGTTGAGTGATGTGAAGGGAGGAAATGGACTCGAGGCCTTGAGCTTTTCCTCTCGTTTATTCTCACTGGTTTACAGAGTCAACCGAGAGAAAAGAGGCAAAGAATGCAGTTTTTCTACAGACTCTTTCTTGGTGGAGGTGAAGACAATCTGGGAGGGTTTTCGCTGCTTTGCATGGGGTTTTTTTTCCCCCCCTCAGAAGTGTTGTGAATGCCTCCCTGAAGATTTTCCTGTCTTTGGGCTGTAGTACTGGCTGCTGCAGCCTCCAATACTTCCACAGAGAAAATACCCAGAGAATAAGTCACCAGTCTCTCTTTTTTTTTCCTTTTTCTTTTATTTTGGTTTACTTTCTAATCAAAAAATGGAACCAACTTTTAAAAGGATGTTTTGAGTTTCAGAAAGACCAGTGATTAAAATGGTTTTCTTTACATACTCTCGCTGCTCTGTGCCTGCTCCCCGTGGAGAGGCTCAGTTTTAATCTTTTTTTTTTCTTTGTTTTTCCTGCACAGCTGCTTTCCTTTGCCTGTGTCTATATGTTGCCATTGTGGAACGTTTACTGTCTAACAATCACATCTAAACTGGATTCATGTTGCAGCTTGTTCTCCAGAGCCAACAGGTGTTGCCTGCTAATGTGGCATTTCTAATAACACAGTAATGAGATTACCAGTAATGTAGAGTTTGCATAGACGTGACTGAGATGATTGCTTCTCCTCTTCCAGCACTTTTACAAAGTTAAAGAAGAAAACTACACTTAGACCTTGCAGGAGGAACAATGCAACCCTGCAGCAAAGTAAAGTGGGGTTTGTTTGGGGTTTTTTTAATTCATCGAGGTGTCAGACGTCCGTCTCTCTATTGACAACGGCAAACTGTGCTTATTCCAGCCTGAGAGCAGATTTCATGCAAAAAGAAAAGTCTCGACAAGTAGCAAAGCAACTTCTGACTGCATGTATCGCCGACATGTTTCCAGCGTTGCACTGAGTCACAGTGATTTACATCAACATATTTTTTTTCCTCTAACTTTCCTGTTAGATGAGCCATCTGTTCTGAAGTTTGGAACTGCAGTAAACAAGGTTTTACTGTTTGTCCTCACTCTGTTTCTGCAAGAGGAGAGCAGATTTTTCTGATTGCACAAGCAGGACTGCGCAGCTTTTGCTGATGCAAAGTAGAAATAAGAATACTCTTTCTTTTTTTTTCTTTTTTTTCCTGCCACACTACTATGCAGATCAACAATATCTTGGTGTCATGAAACGGTGCAGTTTTTGTTACCAGGTGGTGTTACTGATACGATTTGCAGTACATTTATCTGTTTCCGAGTCCATTAACTCTTGCCTTTTAAATAGTTTGTTATGTTTTGTTTCTAATCTCCTTTAGGCTTTCACATCACTTCCTCATCTTCACTGCTATGATCTCCTGTGCTGTTAGTCACCGATGAGTAATGACAGTGGAGTTTGGGAAAATTGCGCTTGATTAAATTTAGTGTGACTCATCACTTGGCGACCTCAAGGCAACTACAGGAACACAAAATATTTCTGAACAGATGTACAGTTTGGGTACAGGAAAGCTGAAATCTCAAGTCATCTTTAAAGTCGTGCGCTCTCTGCTTTTCTCAGTCCTTCCCGCTCTCGTGCACACTCGCATCCGAAACTCCTTTGGTTTTATTTTATTGAGCCGCCAACTGACAAAGACAGCTGGCCTCGGTTGCTTTGCTGTCTGATACTTTTTTTTCTGTGTACCTGTTTGCCTTGTCTTATATGTTCATTTATAAGTGGGGTGAGTGGAGCTGAGAAGGTCAGCTGAAGCTGCAGCTGGTTTGAAAAGCCTATCCTGTGACTTGACAGGTTGCTGCATTGTGCTGCAGGGCAGGGGACCCACAACATGGCACGAGGCCAGAGAGAAACTCAGGCAAGGCCCTGCTTAGAAAAATTTGGTGTTGCCTTTGATGCTAAATCCAAAGGCCCAAATCTGATTTCATGATGATGTGTTACTTTAAACATGGAAAAGTCTGGTTTGGTTTGGAAAATGCAAAACAAAATGAAACACTTTCAGTGTCTTAAGTAAGCATGGTTGCGATACAGGAGAAGCATTAAGTGAAATTTAGGTTTGAACATCAGTTTTTCCACAGTTTTCCATTTCAGTGTGTGCTGTGAAATCAGACGCTTCAGTGGAGATTTTAAAGGCAGGTTACAGGAGAAATAATCTTATTAAAAGTAGAAAAATATAAAAATGTTTAATTTAGATGTATTCTTGAAAGGGCACCATTGAAGTTTTTTTTTTGTTTTGTTTTCTTTTCTTTTTAGCTGATTCTCAAAGGGTGTAAATGGGAAGATCTGTCATAGGATACATGCAAAATCTGTCTCGGTTTAGATGTGTGCAAGTACACATTTTAGTAGTTAGTTCATTTACTTTTTCATTGCCTTATCGTCTAGATTATTGCAGAAATTGTGCAGCCTCTTGAGTAGTGGTGATATCTCAGTCAGCATAAAATAAGTGAAGGTTTCCAACATGCTGAGGTTTTATTTAGTAGTTTTTAGCGCCCTCTATTGCCACACATGATCAGCTGCGAAACAAAAAAAGGAAGAAGGACTTGAGGTAGTTTCTGTCTTTGCTTTATAAGATCTCCATGTGAGTTTGCTACTCCGCAGAAGCAGACTGTGCTCACCTGAGTGACCATGTCAGTCCTGTCTGCAACAGTTCCCGTGTTGTCTGAAGCCTTTTCTTTTTAAAGCTAGTCTTATACTTGTCATAAGGTTTGCTATTTTATTTCTTAATCTTTTTTATGTTACACACAGAAGAAATGACTGTAACACTTAAGTGCAGCGCCTCATTTCAAAAGGATGGTTAAATGTTTACATCTTTTGCACAACGTGCCAAATTTCCTTTTCCGAATTTGCTGTATGATGAAGAATAAGAAGGGGTGAAAGTCTTTGGAAAACAGTCTCGGAGGACTTGTTCCGTGACAGGTTGCTTGCAGTGTAATGAGTATCTTCCCTCCAGTCTCAACTTGTAGAAGCCACTGTGGCCAGGACTGCTGTTATCTGCTGGTCTTGTGTCAGTTTTATGATAGAGAGGGGATTAAAAATGGTCGTTTGCGTGTTTCCATGTCTTAAAAACTTTAAAATATTCTTTAAAATATCCATTAGAGGAGTAACAACTCTGAAACATAGCTCAACAAAAGTCATCCCCAGTATCATATCATGGTTCCATCTTTTCGTAGTGCGTTTACCTGTTTGGAGCCATTTAATCAAAAGTTAAAGCGTGCTAGGCTGCATCACAATAATGCAGAACATTTTGTTTTGGTTGTGATCCAATTATGACCAAGTGATCTTGTGCATATAAAAAATAATTTTAGGTATGAGCCAAAATGATGACGCACAAACCAAAAAAATGCCTATTGAAATAAATTTACAAAGGAAAACATCGAGTAAGAAGAATATTACTGACAATCCTGCAGATGGTCGTCTTCTTTAATAACATAAAACGTGAGCATGAGTCAGTAAATAAGAGCATCCTACCCACTGAGCCACTAGACATTATTTATTTCGCTGTGGAGGGAAACAAGGGGTTATTTGCTAGAGTTAAACAAGAAAAGGAAGCTTGAAGCAAAATCTTTGTGTTCGTTCAGCTTTTCCTTTAAACGGAGAAAAGTTCAGTCACGACTTGTCATAAACCTGGGACGTTTTCCCCCTATCGGCCCACCTCAAATCCCCTCATAGGATTAACAGAAGAAGGGCCCTCTCTCTAATAAGTGAAAAGCCCTGCTGAGACATCCAGCTCAGGACTGCTTAAGCTTCTCCGTCTTCTACGAGCGGCTGTGCCAATGTAAATGAGTCGGGGCACAATAGGGGCAGATCATGCACAGCAGACAATACACTGTAAAAGTCTCATCAACTGGTAATGACAGATAATAACAGTAATCAATATGGGTGGGATATGGGGTGGGGTGTGAGCTGGTGGGTTAATGTGTTTTCTGAGAGGCATGTGGCTCTGAATGGCTGGTATTCACATTACGAGGTGGCTGATGCAACCCGAGGGTTCACACATGTAAAAGTGTATATTTTTGTATATACCTACATCAGTGTGTGTACAGTATGTACATATATACACAGTGTACTCAGCTGCAGTTCCTAGTTTTGTTGTCAGACTGTACAGCGCTTCTAACTGTTCCCTGTTTTATAGATAATGCAGAAATTCAACTTTGAATGAGGAGAAATGATTAACTTAAATAAATACATTTATATATATAAACAAAAGGGTGTGACGTGTTTTGCATTTTCATTTTTGCTGTTCAAGTTTTGACAGTTGACAACCCTAAACATGCACCATATGTACAGGGATAAAAAGGTTAAGTGTTGTTGAATCCATCTGTCAGCTGGAAGTAAATCCAGTTCTCTCAAGTTTTCCTTCATTGGTTGATCTTTTAGCGATTTGCAGTGTGGCAGCTGTGCATGAATTTTACATGTATTCTTAGGCTTTAATATTTAAAGAAGAAAGGTTTTCCATCCGTCAGTCAAGCATTGTAGCGCGCTGGCCGAGTGCATTAGTGTGAGTATTGTGCTACAAGGCAGCATATGAGTGACAAAGCAAAATTAATGCAAGACTTTTAGAAATGAATGATTTGGCAGCACAGTGTGACTCTAATAGATAATGACAGATAATCTACTACCAGTCACTTTATTAGGTACAGCTGTTCAACTGCTAGTTAATGCAAATATCTAATAAGCAAATCACATGACAGCGATTCAATGCATTTAGGGTGTATGGTCAAGATGATGCATCCTGCAACGATACAACTGAGCATCAGAGTGGGAAAGACGCTGAACATCGCATGGTCTGGTCTTATGCAGAAAGGCATTTCTAAATGCACAACACGTTTACGCTTGAAGCAGATGGTCTACAGCAGCAGAAGACCACATCGGGTGCCACTTTTCTTGGTTAAGAACACGAAACTGAGGTCACAATTCACATGAGCTAACCAAAACCGGACAATAGAAAACTGGAAAAACATCGTCTGGTCTGATGTCTCTTGATTTCTACCGTGACACTTTGAGCCCCTTAGTATTAACTTTGACTATTGATTATGGGTCAAAGGATTTATTGACCACAGTTTACCATCTTCTGATGCCTGCTGCCATCAGGATTGAGTGCATCATGATTAGCAGCGTGGCCATGCAGCTGACAAATATAGAAACGGGTTTCTTCAAGATGACAATCCAATACAACTCAATCCAATAGAGCACCTTTCAGATGTGTTGGAATCATGGGTGTGTAGACAACAAATCTGCAGTTACTGCGTGATGCTATTATGTCACTATGGACCAAAATCTCAGAGGAATATTTCCAGCACTTTGCTAAATGCAACCCGATACTAGCAAGACTGACAAAATAAAGTGTCTCGTGAGTGTATATTATGTACATTATAAAGCATCCCTTAAATTTTAACAAAATGAAGACTTATATTTCTTCCATTAGTCTGCCCCAAGTCAGATGTACAGCCTAAAAATATGACTGTATATTACACTACTCAAAAAATTAAGGGAACATTTTGAAAAGACATCAGATCTCAATGGGAAATAAGATGCTGGATACCTATACTGATATGGACTGAGTAATGTGTCAGGAATAAAGGAGTGCCACATTGTTTAATGGGAATTAAAATTATCAACTTACAAAGGACTGAATTCAAAGTCACCCCAAAAATCAAAGTGGAAAAAAATGTTCCAGAAGGTTAATACATTTTATTGCAGCAACTCAAAATAGTTCCCATTTGTTTGTATGGCCCCCATGTGCTTGTATGTATGCATGCTCTTAATGAGACGATCGATTGTCTGAAGGAAGGTCCAAGGAGCTGTTGCCAGGCCTGTCGAGGTCTGTGCGTCGCTCCATGGATGCGTTTCCCCAGACCAACGCTGACCCACCACCACTGATGATTAAAAATATTACAGGCAGCAACATTCCCCACGGCTTTTCCAGGCGCTTTCACGTCTCTCAAATGTGTTCAGAGTGAACCTGCTCTCATCTGTGAAAAGCACAGGGTGCCAGTAGTGGACCTGCCAATTATGGTATTCTATGGTAAATGCCAGTCTGGCTCAATGATGTCAGGCAGGTCCCACTAGAGGATGCTGGGACTTCAGACCACCTTTATGAAGTCTGTTTCTGATTGTTTGGTCAGAGACATTCACACCAGTGGTCTGTTGGAGGTCATTTTGTAGCTCTGACAGTGCTCATCTTTAACTCTAGATACCCATCCTTCTTATGGGTTGAGGACCACCTTCGGCCCTGTCCAGCTCTTCTGGAATCTTCTCCATACAGTGCTGGGAGACACAGCAAACCTTCTGGCCACGGCACGTATTAATGCATCATCTTGGAGGAGTTGGATTATCTTTGCAACCTCTGTAGGGTCCAGGTATCGCCTCATGCTACCAAAAGTGACACTGAACCTAGCTAAATCCAAAACTAGTAGGGAAAAAAAGTCAGAAAACATGAGGATAAAAAAAAAAGTCAGTGATTTTGCCTGTAAAATCAGCATGTTTATTTTTGTCTCATTGTTGCCCCTCAAAGTGCACCTGTTGTTAATTTCATTAACACTAAAGCAGCTGAAACTGATTAACAACCCCCTCTGCTACTTAACTGACCAGATAAATATCCCAGAAGATGTTATACTCTGATTAAAAAGTGTTTCTTTAATTTTTTTCAGAGGTGTATATGGACTTACTGATCTATATAAGATGATGACAAATATCATAAATATATCCAGACTGTGTTCATCCTAGACCTTTGAGATAAATATATTTTAGGCCCTATGTATGTTTAGCACCACAAGAAGTCATTGACTTTGTGGTTTTCTTGGTGCTTCTCTTTTCTTTCTTCTCTTTCTTCTCACCCTCCAACAACTCGATGCAGATGGCTGCCTCTCCCTGAGCCTGGTTCTTCCTGTTAAACAGCAATCCTTCCTCCCAGCTTTTCCCAAGAGGTTCCTTACAGGGGATCATCTGATTGCTCGGTTTTTCTCAGTAATGTGTGTTTTCATTTACATCTCTTGCTTTGTGTCCTTGTCATGTTATACATTATTACGTTATATATTATTTGGATGTGTAACCAGGTCTTCCTGAACCTTTGGAACTCCTGGAGCTGTGCTACATTGGACAGATTAGCAAGCTGTACATACGCACAGCTGACAAAATGCTGTTTTTCTTGAATCAGAGCACCATAAGACCACCAAAGCTTGCATGCTTGCACCTATTTAACCTTCTTAAACTTAATGGACGCTGACACCCCCAACTCTTGGAAAGTCTTCTGGCAGGATTTTGGAGCTGACCTTCCCAGATTTACTCTCATTCAAGCTTATTTAGTCTCTCACTCAACCACTGAGTTCCAGGTGTTGATGGGTTGCAGCCTTGCGTTTGTTTGCAATCAAATTTAGAATATTATTTATTTAAAGACAGTCCTTATTATACCAGTGTGCTGTTACCTTGCTGAAGACTGCTTATCTAGTTGTAACTCACACTATTATAGTAACCTGATGCAGGCCCTCTGCATCTGTTCACATCTATGACTGCTTCCCTCCT